AACAAACAATTTTTTTTCTATAGAAACAATTATGATGTCCCTCTGTAACAAAATTCTACATACAAATTTCAGAGAGAAATGACCGCGTGAACAAAGTGACTAACATTTTTTTGTAATAGATTTTGTACCCCAAATGTTGTCTGGTGTCCCGAAATTTTTCATGATTCCAAAGTAGTTTGACCAAATGCTCTTCCACTGATTTGACGGTGACATTTATAGATATCTTGTCACCTGCAACATAATAATAAAACGAAATGTTAGTAAATTACCATCAATTCTATACATTAAAACTGTTCTTATTTCAACTTAGCCACAAAGTTATTTTGTCAGTCTCATAAATTAGGCATACAAAATATAAAAAAACTTAATTTTCAAAAACTTAATCAACAATTATTGATTGCTAATATAAATTTAGAATGGAACAGTAAAAACGAAGAAATGAACAGAATCTAACATGAATTGAGGTCCCCATTAGAAACTCTTGAAACGTCTATATCACTGATTGTGGAAAAATTGTATCCAAGCAACTGCACAAAATTTTCAATCACATGAAGGCACAACTTTCCGTTGTAGTGTAACATGACCTGGCCTCTTCCAATTTTAATTTTATTATTCATTTGATTGCTCCCATCTAAGCTTATTAATTCTTTGAAATCTTTCTCAAACTCGTTTCTAACTAGCTTTGAATATTTCAATGGCTCTCCTTCAGGCTCCCACAGTTGTTCAAGATCACGGTTTCCAAGTATTGCAATGGCATACCTTTTCAATTGTTAGTTCATTCACATACAAACATACTCAGTGGAACAGGTCGCATTGCAAATCAATGTGAAGTTTTCATTATATCATTCACTAATTATATTTCTTATTTGTCATCAAAGTTAAAATTTAAAGTTAGTCTTTTGGTTTATACGGTCATCAGAATAATAACATCATCAACATCATAAAGTCATCGAAAGTTAGCCATTAAGAATTGATTTAAAACTCAGTATAACTTTTAAACGAAATAAAAAACCCACCTATCGTATAAAAGTTTTGTCCCCAGTATGACTTCAAGTTTATTGAGAAACTTCAAATTGACCAATGCAGTTACGTGGAATATTTTCAAGTAGCCTGTTATTATCCTAACTGAAGACAAACCTCTTTCTAAAGCTTCCATTACAGATGCTGCCATTAAACAAAATAATAAACATACGTTAAACATGAAAGAACTTTATTCTTTCTCAAAATTAAAAGATTTTCTAAAAATTTAATAGATATATATATATGCAAAGAACCCTCTAACAGCCAGCTCATAGTTTCAATTTCAAATAATTTTTAAATCCATAAAAGTTTTGAATGACATACTTTGTTGTTGTTTTTATAATTTCACACTTTATGAACAGGTCAACTAAACCCATTAAAAACGCAAGTGCCAGGCCGGCGTTCTAACTTGAGCCGGTCCAGACAACCCTTCAATACAACTTTATTTATTTTTTACACAATTTTGTTCCGTTAGGTTTTTTTTATATTATTATTCTTTAAAAAATCAGAATCTGACAGACGCAGAAACTGTTAGGGCATGCAAGACAATAGTATGATAACAAAAATAAATAAAGGAGAAAAATGTTTAAGCATGAAAAATATAGAAAATAAAATAAAGTAATGGTTTAAAAAGGCAAATAAATGAAATAATTTATTAACAGACTAGTTAATGACTTAATAAGTTAGTTAGGTGAGCAGTAAGAAAAAAAAACTAAATTGAGTAAATGATAAAGGTTTTGAGCTTTCCACACTATTTTCAGCACCGAGTTTCGATTTTAAAATTCTACTCTGCTTTCTTTTTAAGAGCAAACTTCATAATTAATCAAAATTTAAAATCGCTAATCATTTTTGGTAACAAATCTATTATCACCTTTTCTCAATTGTAACGAAACCGTCAAAAATGTCGTAACTTAAAAAGCTTCTCAACCCACATCTTTCCCTCGTCGAACACTCGTAACTCTTTTATAACACAGAAGTTGAGCCAACTCTTTCAATCATTTCATGCCATCATTATTTAGTTTTTTAAAGAAATTAATATATTTATTTCTTTGTGGAAATGAGTTAAAAATGTTTTCCCAGTAAATTAAAACGTGATGAGATTTAGGTTATTAAATTTTATTTATTAACGCGCAAAAAATAAACAACCAACATCCTCCTCTGATGATGATCTTCAGAGAGCCATTGATGACGGTGCAGCCCTTGAAGTACTCCAGGTGTTCCTCTCTTGATATTTCCCTTCCTGAACAAGCTGCAAATAATTATTTTTTTATAATTTGTTGCATTCTTATTTAATTTTTAAACTTGTTCATCAATTTAACCAGGATTATATTATTTTAATTGAATCAAGAGCTTGTCCAAGGCAACCATTCTAACAAAAAACTCTTTTCAATATGAAATCACAGTTTGTGAACAAATATATAAGTTGCAAAGTCTTTGACTAAAATGAGAGCAACTGATGAGTGAGCAAGAATGTGATGCAAATAAGAATTAAGACATCAACGAACAGCAGTTTTTAGTGTTAAATAATATTTAATCACACATAAAAGAAAAGAAAACTTAATTACAGCTGAAGCAATAATCTCCACAGTAGACACAGAAATTTGATTCGTTGGCATAGCCTGCCGGACAATCCTCAAGACACTTGTCACCTAATATGAAACCATTTTCCTCTGCACACGTTGTTTCGTTTAAACACCATCTGTCATTTGTCTGATCAATGTTGTGAAAAATTATTTTATGAAAAATTAAACTTTCGTACAACTATTTTGCAAGAAAAATTAAAAAAAGAAGAAAAAACATATCAGCTTATTTACGTCATAGGTCCCTGGCGGGCACTTATCAACACAGGCACCAAGATGGGTTCGCAAACATCCCACACAGCTGGCAGCAGTTTCATTGAGGCACCCACCCACACAATTCTTGTGGCAGCAGTTCATGTTACCGTTCTCCTTGTAACAGCCAGCAATTCCACACTCAGCAGGGCATACTGAAATATTTATCCACAAGTTTTATAAAAAGATTTAATTGCAGAAATTCACAATAAATATTAATTTATTGCTACATTATCAATTCTAAATCCCACAGGATAATTCTTCAAGTGTACTTTGATGTGAATTTTATCCACTCTTATCTAGAAAAAGTTAATCTTTTTTTAAGTATCAGAAATTTTTGCACTAAGTTGCTCTGTTAAAGACCAATTGGTTTATCAGACAATGCTTCTATTTTTATATGTGAGTATGTACGTGAAACATTTACAATATTGAGAAAAAGCTACTAAAACGAAATTAGTTTAAATTACATTTGCATCAGTTAGATGAAATGCAACACCGATGAATAAGCACGTAAGAACATACCACACCACACATACACCATGATCAACATAACTGGATAACAAAAAGACCAATAAAAAAAGCAATTATCCTGCAAAAAAAGTTGCAGGAACAAAAATGCTGAAAAAAGTATTAAAAATTGTTTACTCTTAAAAACTTCACATAATGGCACAAATGGTTGCTAATATATATTATTGAATTTTTGAGCAAACAAACGTGCAAGAGAAAAAAGCGTACACAAATATATAATTATCATACATAACCTTATTGTATGTATATGACGTGTATAAAAAATAGCCTAATGGCAATAGAATGAATACGTAACATTCCGTAATAATATATCTACGGTGGATAATATTTAATAGTAATTAAATAATAACTTGAAGTATTTTCGAATTAAATAATAATAGAAGAAGTATACATAGACAGACAGTTACACAAACAGACAGTTACAAACACAAACATACACACGCACGCACGCGCGCACACACATGTACACGTTCAGAATAACACATTTCACTGAGAAAAACAAGTTAAATAAAAATTAGCGACTTGATACATTTCTGTTCTTTCAGATCTGACTAACTCAAAACGGATTTTGGTGAGATGGTTCTTAGCTTACAAGCAGGCAGATGTTTTCTCTTGCTTTACTCCAATAACGCTGGATGACTCATCAACTGACTGATGAATGGATCTAAATGCGATATTTCAATTTTTTAAAAAGTATTCAACCAAAATTCACCTCAAGTTTTAGACAACTTGCCGTAATTGTCCTATGTGACATTAACAGAAAAGAGCCAGACAAACATCATAATTTAATTATCCAAATAAATGTTGTGTTAGTTATTTAACAGTCACTACCCAGTGCAACAAATTAAAATAAATTGGTGCTAGGATCCCTTTCAACAAAATATGGTGTCTATGAGCAGCCATTCTTTGAAAAAAATTACTTTTTAAAGAAACAAAATGCTTTAAAGGTTATGTGGACCAACTGATACAACCATGAAGTTATCTATCTATTTATGTAAAAACAATTATCTACTCACCATTTCGGCAGTGATGTATATATTTAATTGACAATTTTTATGTGAAATCTAATACTATAACGCCTGCTCAAATATGCAAATGAATTTGTTGACACATAAATTTTATGAATAAGTTTTATTATTTTTTACTCTTTAATAAATAGCAATTATGTTTACATTTAAATACGTTTAATTTCTTTCAAAATTGAACTCAGTTGAAATAAAACTGATCAACATTTTCCACAAAATTTTCTAGTGACAATATTCATTAAACATTCATTGACATGTACCCATGTTGATTAATTTGATGTGATTCAACAATTCGTTGAAATATTTATTGCAAAGAAGTGAGGCATGTTGTGTGGAAAGTACATTGCATGGGCACTTCTCAGGTCTTGCATTACTAGCTTTAATAATAAACTTTCTTAATATAATTCAACTCTGAACATTTTTTAATTATTATTACCATTTATTTATTTATCCATTCATTCATTTTTCTATATGAATTTTTTGTGAAAACAATTTTACAATCAAAAAAATAAAATTAATTTAAAATTTTTTAAAATGACCTATTTTAATGACTTGAATTTTAAATTCAATTCGTAAATTAAACAACTATTTATTTATTCTGTTTGCATCAATAACAAATATAAAGCATTGATTTGCATTGAAAGCATATAACAGTATCACTGACTAGCATTGATTGTAATCAAGAGCAGTGTTATTTCAAGGAATGGCTTGGGAATAGGTCGACAACCTTACAAACTTTTCTATTTTCATTTGTCTCAGCCATGAACCAAAATGCATGGTAAAAATCAAAGATTGTGAAAAACACAGCTAGCAAAATTTAAAAACAAAAAAAAGTACAATAAGGAGACCACTCGTGACAATAAAGAACAACGGCCAAGCACAATAAGCAATAACCAATAATAAATACATTTATGGGTTGTTGATGATGAACACAACTAAAATTATCTCAAACATCCACAAAGCTAATTACATTTCTAAACACTGTAAAAATGAAACAAACCTATCTGACAGGTGTCATTATTCCAGCAGAGAGGTTGAGACAAACCGTGCTCTGAGTCCTCATTATTGAAGAAATTTGAATTCATGAGGCCAGGCCTGTGTAGGAAGTATGCTTTGAACTTGTCGGGCTGCGTCTTGATGGGACACATGGATGATCCATTGTTGTACATCGGACACTTGTTGAAACATAATTTCTGATCTTTGTTCGTTGAAAATACGAATCTCTCACTGTTTCTCATAATGTAATTCCACTTAATGGAGCCTGCGTAGCACAACTTTGGATGACCATGAATACGAATGCCTCCATTTAAGATTACATTCAACTTTGGCAATCCAATCTCCTCAAGTTGATAATTGTTCATTAAAACCAAAGCATATCCATTAAACAATGATGAACCTCCAATGATGGCCAAGTTTGGAAATAAATAAGCAAAAGAGCGAAACAGGAGATTATGATTGAGGAGGACATAGCCAGTAACTTCTCTCAACAAAGGTAGCGATAAATATTCATATGAATAATTATAAACAGTCGTATAATAAGTCCCATCTAATAAAGTTATCTGTATGTTGCCATTAACAATTGTACAAGTCTTCATAAGTTCCCAGTTGTCAGAAGATGCAACTGACATAAAAATAGCAATAGACCCACTGCAGACTGTTAAATATTTTAAAATTAATTTTCATTTATTTTTTGGATGAAATATCATAAGAAATTAAACGTTTATAAACTCGAGAAACAAAAAAAGCCACAGACGTATGATTGATATTTTTGAAAGCTTTGAAAAGGTTTTAACAAATTAATTCAATCTATTTCATGCATGAACAATTTTTTACTCATCAATAAAGTGTTTGTCGTACAAAATTCTATTCCAGATTTTTGATGGCATAATTTATAAATAGAAAATTTTTCATTAGGTTTAATAGCTGAAAACCGGCAAAGGAAAGAATAAGTGGATAGGAGTTAAAGAGGAAGCCTACGTGACCGAGTTAGCTCAGTCTGTAGGAGTGTTATGTCTCGTGCTGTTGTTATATTACACAACGGCATGGCTCAAATACTGTCTGTTAGACTCGAAAACCATCAGACGCGCATGACGCGGTGCTTGCGTGGTGTGGCCACAAAAGTTTAATTAGAGCTATGGAATAAGTCGTAAACAGCTCTGCAGTTGACAGGGTTGCATTATAAACAATTTAAAAAGAATGAGCAGGCGAGTGCAGACACACAAAATGTTGGCAGTTCACAAGGCTGAATAATCATAGATGAATGCAGGTCATTCGTGAGGATTGCAAGCACAGTGTACATTACCTACAGATGGTGGAAGTACAAATTAGTGATTAACATCAAAATATAAGAATATTAAAAAAACGTCTGTGTTTTGTCATCTCAAGATTACACAGACAATAAAAAGATTGACAATTATTTATTTTCTGTTGTGATGGAACTCCAACAAAAACACTTGTTTAATATTCTTGTGCCAAGAAACCACATAATTACACTTGGATCCATTTCTTGCAGGTTTAATAAAAAATAAAACAATTTTATAGAATAAACTGCGTAACTGACCTTGTCCGCAAAAAAGTGAATTCACAAACGACATTGAAACGAAAAAAAAACTATTAAAAAATAGAAAACTTGGAGAATGCCACTATATATCATCAAACTACACAGTGTATAGAGACAATACAGAAACACAACCTAGAAATATAATAAGTCATTCAATGAAAGAACCAAATGAAAATTTATAAGAAAACTGGCTGGAAAATGTAAAGAAACGTGGAATGTAACAAATGAAATGGCAAAGATGAATGACGATAGATGGTCAGTAGATAAACGGAAGGACAAACAGAGAAAATACTAGAGAAACATACAGAAAGATAGAATGATCACTGATATAGGGGGATAAATGAGCCAACAAAAAAACGTCCAAATGAATAGACAAAGATATAAATAACATTATAAATTTAGATAAAAAAGTTATCAAAATTTTTTCAAAAGAAACCTTGCAAATATTTTCACCACTCATGGATTAGTTGAAAGAAAAAAATGATAAAATAAGTTTTTTGTGAGAAAATATTAAATATTTCCGCTGAACAGATGAACATGAGGTCAATGCTACATGCTCTTGCTTTTTATTCACCTTGTATTTCAAAAAGTTTAATACAGAACTTGGAAAAATTTTTAAGTGTCAAAAATGTTGATGAAAAATAGCAAGAGTGACAAGCAGATAATATAAAATGATGAGAAAATTGATCAGAAATTAGTATGGTTGTTAAGAAGAAACCACATATCACATAATTACAAAGCCATTAATTTTAATTAGCCTTTATTTACCAGAAGTTTCATAAAAAATCTTCTACCTTATCAACATTCTAACGTGAATGTTGATAAAACAGACTGAAAATGTATACAATATCTTTTATTATCAAAAATAAAAATGCTTCTCAATTGGAATATGGCAAATTTGGAAGTGTTTTCATTTTTTATTAGCAAAATTTGTCACTCAAAATATAATCATTTAATTCAGTGAATAAAACAACTTTAGAAAAACGAAAAAGTATCATACATTAGAGTTGAAACCTCCATACCTACCTGTGTCACGACCCGTTTTAGTTATTATAACTTCATGAGGATGTTCAGCTGAAGGAGCCACAATTAACATGCACCAAAGTGCACACCAAGCTGTAAAAACGTTCATCAATCTGTATGATGCCATACTCTACAATTCTGAATGGTAGAGAGATTCCAATTATTTCAATTTTCTTTTATCAGATTCGCGGAAGTATTTTAAAGCATTATTTCATAAATAGTTTTAAACAGAGTCAATCTCATAATCTTTCCAAATGTTTTAAAATCTCAATCAAGGAACTTCAACTATTCTGAAAAAAAATATTAAAAAAATAGAAATTAATGGTAATGATATGATGTGGTATGATATAAATCAATTAGTTCGAATTATAAATTTGGTCTGAAATTAACTTAGTTTTGTTGCATGAGAATGATGAAACATGAACCAACATATGCCTACTCATCAATATACAAGAATGCCCCAAAAATAAACAACCTTGTAAATATCTATAGGCTCATAAAAAGCTGAAAAGCTTACCAGATATTTACTTTAAAAAGCCACAAGACACAGCATATGGGTGTGTCATCTAAAACCAGTTGATAAAAAGTGGCCCAATATGTCATTGATGAATCATATTTAAAGTGGTAATAATATTACAATCACACACCAGTTAACATGATAATAAAATGTTTTAGTAATATGCTTTAGGAATTCAACTTGATTGATTTACAAATTTTAAAATATCCTGCTTAATAGGCTGCCTGAAATTTTTATTTAACAAACTTCAAACATGGTTTAAATTTATTTTAAAATGAAATCATCTGTACTCATTATTCAATTGTATCAAGTTAGCCCATAAAAAAACAAACATGAAGTTTGCATAAAAATGCATTGGAATGATTTGGTGTGCCGTGCAACTTCAAAAACTTTATTTCAAAAACTGTGAAATCATTGCTTCACATTAAATGAAATTCTGAAGATTTACTTTTAAATTAAAATGCAAACGATCATGAAACTGTAAATATGTTTTGTAAGAAATGATCTTCCACTAAATGTTTGATGCATCAGCAACTGTCAACTAGCATCTTAAAATTAAACCAATCCTCAACATTAATAGAATATAAAAACAGCAACATACCTTTAACCCAGAAAAAATTATCCATGGCAGTTGTAATTCATTTAAAAAAAACATTTATTCAGATTTAAATACTTACTTAATTTTTCATTTTTCAAATGTCCATGACCAATTTTTCTACAGTAGTTTCAGAATTTCAACATTTTATGATAAACAGCATCGCTATCATTAATAAACTTGAAGTACTTAGATATTCAGATGCAGCATGTTTTTATCAACTGACAAGAGTATCATGCTGAATGTAATGGCAGTTTAAGTCCTGGCAGCCATAGATGCGTCAAAGCTATTCAAATTAATTCAACATCTCTTTTCATAACTTCTACTTACACTAGCTTAGGATTGATAAACCTTTGTTAAATTTTGTTTCAACATTGTGCAGTTTGGAAATTTAAAGTCAGTCTAGTTTAACATTTACAAATTTGTAATTGTAATTAATTGACTTAATTGACTATTTTAAACAATCAGTAACATTTCCCAACCATACAGTATTAATAAATTCTATTAGGTATCTATTTTATTGTTTTTGTCATTTTGTGTTATTTTATTCAGGTTAAAATTGAAGCATTATTTTTTATAGTTAACCAATTTTGCTGATTTATGAATTAAATTAAAGATAAAATTGTTAGTGCCTAAAATAATTATATAACTTTACGTGTAAATTACAATGTGCTAATATTAAAATTACTATTTTAAAATAGAATATTCAAAAATAGTTGAAATGAAAAAAAATTATTTGTCAAAAAAACTTAAGAACTAGAAAGGACTTATTAAGTATTATTTGAAAAAGATAAGACTGTATAAATAAACTTAGGAAATGTGATAATTTACAATATCAATAACCTATTACTAATGATAATTAAATAAGATAAAGATATTAAAAATTAAACCAAAAAAATATACATTTTTAGAGCAGTTTGTCAATAATAATGATATGAATCAAAATAACTTATTTTTGTAATAAAATAAAAAAAAGTTACATTATGCAGGACAAATGTCAAATAGTCATGATTTTAAAATGTAAATTCTAATTTTTGGTACTCTACTAAAATTTAATTTATTCATTCATAAATTAATTAAATTAATTGATTGATAAAAATAAAGATAATAAAAATAAAAACCATTTTGAAATTTCTATCAATCAATCAATCAATCAAATTGATTGATAGAACAAACTCAATCTGAATTTCAATTTATCGTTTCTTTAGTTTAAAACTTTAATTAATTTAATATAAAAAACTCTTGAGTACAATAAAGTATACTACAATAGCAGTTTAGTTTTTAATGTAACAATGAAAATATAACAAAACTCTGCATTTTATTGACTGACTCTAATAAGCATACTTTATCATTGATTGTATAAGAATTATTCTTTATAATTTTATATCAATAACTAAATAACACTGCATTCAGATTTCATATCCAGCACATGCAGTATAAAAAATAGAGAAAAAAAAATCTTTATCTGAAATAAACTATTATAAAGAAATAAAGTGTTTATTAACTTCAATGGTAAATTTTGAAAACTGTATTTTATTAGATTTTAACATATTACCATAAAATAAAAATATTAATTTAAACATTTTTTCACTTTATTGTAGCTTTTAAATTTTAAAAGGTTTATTTTATTAAAATTTAAAAAACATAAAACAAAAACCTCTAACTTACCTATTCGAGATCTCGTATTTTGTATTGTGTGTCTTTTTCAGATATTTAAAAACAAAATAAAACAAATTATTAACTAAAAAATGGAATATAGCACGTGGGAATGTTTAGAAAAATTTTCAAACAAAAAAAATTCACCGGGAAAGTTAACTAGAGAAAAGACTAAAATAAAGGTAAACAAACAAACAAGGCAAGCAATCAAACTTGGTGAAGTTACATGGTAAAAAGAGGACAC